GTTCATTGGAGATGAGAGTTTCATGGACTTTCCTGCCCGGGCTGGCTTTGAATCATGATCCACCTATCTCAGCCTCCTCAGTAGCTAGGATTATTGGCGTGAGCCACCAGCACCCCGCTTCATTTCTATTTCTCTACAATGAATTTAATGCTTGCTTAGGACTTGACATGTACCTCAAAAAGAAGTGTTCAGGTCTTAACTCCTGGAACCTGTGAGCATGACATTAGTTTGAGTTTTTTTTTTGTTTTTTTTGTCAGTCCTGGGGCTCGAACTCAGGGCCTGGGCACACTGTCTCTGAACTTCTTTTGCTCAAGGCTAGCACTCTACCACTTGAGCCACAGCACCACTTGGGGTTTTCTGGTGGTTCGTTGGATTTAAGAGTCTCAGGGACCTTCCTGCAGGGGCTGGCTTTGAACTGTGATCCTCTCTACCCTCCACCTCCAGAACTTTCCACCTCCCACAATGAAGCTCTTTCCCCCTTCCTGGCCTGGGGAACCCCTCATCCTACTTCCCTTCTCTGCAGACCCGATACCTCTAGAGAGCTCCTGTGAACAAGTCCTGTGTCTGCCATCTTACTGAATGCCCCTTGTCCTCAACTCCCTCCATGTTGGACCAAGTGTCAGAAACTCCTTTTTCATGGCTGAGTAATGTTCCAGTGTGTGGATAGATTGATCATCGCTTATCTGTTCACCCCCCAGGGTCTGTGTTGATTGTTTCTACCATCTAGCTATTATGAATAAAACAATAAAAATGTATCTTCGCACTGGGCACTGGTGGCTCACGCCTGTAATCCTAGCTACTCAGGAGGCTGAGGTCTGAGGATCATGGTTCAAAGCCAGCCCACAGATCTCAGCCTCCTGAGTAGTTAGGATTACAGGCATGAGCCACGGGCTCCAGGCCCACAAGACTCTTATCTCCAATAAACCACCAGAAAACTGGAAGTGGCACTGTGGCTCAAGTGGTAGAGCACTCCCCTTGAGCTGAAGAGCTGAGGCACAGAGCCCAGGCCCAGTGTTCATGCCCCACTACCAACAACAATAACAACAAAAAACTTCTGGGTTGGAATTTTTTTTTCCTGGGTTGTGAAGCTTTAACTCAGGGTCTAGTGCTATCCCTGAGCTGCTTTTGCTCAAGGCCTAGTGCTCTATCACTTAGAGCCATAGTGCCACTCCTGGTTTTTGTGTGGTTAATTGGAACAAGAGTCTTATGGGGACTTTTTCTGCCTTGGCTGGCTTCAAACTGCAATCCTCAGATCTCAGCCTCCTGAGTAGCTAGGATGACAGGTGTGAGCCACCAGTGCCCAGACAACTTCCATGGTTTTTTTTTTTCTTTTTTTGTTTGGTTGTGGGACTTGAACTCTGGGCCTGGCACATTGTCCAAAAGCTGTTCAGCTAAAGGTGAGCAGTCTACCACTTGAGCCACAGGGCCATTTCTGGTTTGCTGGTTTGTTGGAGATAAGTCTCACGACGGAGGGAGAGGGGGAGAGAGAGATGGGAAGGGATAGGAAGGGGAAACAAAGGAGGAGGCAACAATGCTTGATAAGAAATGTACTCATGCCGGGCGCTGGTGGCTCACGCCTGTAATCCTAGCTACTCAGGAGGCTGAGATCTGAGGATC